TAAATCTTCAGATTCTTCTCATTGTGTGTGCATGCATCTGAATTTCTATCATTACCACACATTTTATCTAATTTACAAAGGCACAGGAAGTTTAAACAGAACACCTATTGCTCATTTTGCACAGAACAAATAACATGTCAAATTTATACACTATAAAATGCACAAAACGTGACAGCTCTGGATTAGTCACCCATGAGTCATCCTGGTGTTTGAGCTGCTGCTGCCCCCTGCTGTCCAACTGCTCRGTTTCATTTGGAGTAAAAACCAGCTGTGTTCTGCAGGTTTTACAGAACCAGCATGTTTCAGACAAATTCATTTATCYTCTTTGAACTGAAAATGAACTTAAATGTTTGATTACAATCCTAGTGGGACACTTCAGTTTAGCTTTTTAACCTGGACCGTCTTGTCAAGCCATAGTGCGTAACTAGCTTTTCATCCCTTTACACTTTCAAATGCTTTTCCTGTATTGACACCCTTTAAATGTTTTGGCTTTGACATTAAAGCTAGAGATGCACAAAATTTACAGGGTGCACTCAAAGTTGAATATGGTCTAAAAACCCTGACATCTTTAGCTTGTTTTTTGCAGCTTTGCTCCCTAAGCTTTTAGATGATTTGAGTGTAAGAAGATTTTGGTGTTAGTTCAGACCAGACAAGAGTCATGTTATGTTGGAACACATGTGCACTTTATTGGGATTGTTTAGTCAGTGTACAGGTTGGCCCCACTGGTCTGGCAACCCTTCATACCCAGTTACTTCAAGACCCCCTTGCCCCATCACCCTGGGGTGAATCCTTCAGAGGAAGGTGGTCACAGTTGGGTTTTGCATAACAAAACAAAAAAAATTAAACAGGACCAAGTTTTTCTTTAAGGCTGAAAGTACAAAAAACCCCAGACAAATTTACATACAAGCGATACTACAACCATGTTAAAGTATGCGCCAACCACTGGGCAGCCTTCACAGAGGCAAATACGTGTCTGAACAATGCAGTTAACATCTGGAATCATGTCTGAACAATGCAGTTAACAAACATTTGGAATGACAAAAAGGTACATTTTTAAGTCCCCAGATGAACCGGGTGTTTTTATTAAACATAGCCAAAACATTAAGTTTCCTTCATCGTTCCAGTTTTTATTTTTTATTTTTTAAATCCTGAGTCAAGCGCCAAAATAACTGAAGCCATGCCAATGAGTTGTCATCTAGGCTCTGCGCCTGAGTGTGTATGAGAAATGTGTGGTTCTGCACAGAGCTGAAGATGTTTGGGGAAGGGGAGGAGGAACAGTCCGTTTAGAAGCATTTGCGGTGGACGATGGAGGGGCCAGACTCATCGTACTCCTGCTTGCTGATCCACATCTGCTGGAAGGTGGACAGAGAGGCCAGGATGGAGCCTCCGATCCAGACAGAGTATTTACGCTCTGGTGGGGCAATGATCTGTCAAAGACAAGGCAGAAGTTAGATCAAGTTTCCCCCTCCAGCAATAACCGTAATACTGCTCCAGGACCACTCACCTTGATCTTCATGGTGGATGGGGCCAGGGCTGTGATCTCCTTCTGCATCCTGTCAGCAATGCCGGGGTACATGGTGGTACCTCCAGACAGCACGGTGTTTGCGTACAGATCCTTACGGATATCGACGTCGCACTTCATGATGCTGTTGTAGGTGGTCTCGTGGATTCCGCAGGACTCCATACCTGAGAGCACATAAACACTTAGCAAGGGACAAAACAGCTCATCCAGTCATGACTGTTGTCAGTAACACTTACCGAGGAAGGAAGGCTGGAAGAGGGCCTCTGGGCAACGGAACCTCTCATTGCCGATGGTGATGACCTGTCCGTCGGGCAGCTCGTAGCTCTTCTCCAGGGAGGATGAGGAGGCAGCGGTGCCCATCTCCTGCTCGAAGTCCAGGGCAACGTAGCACAGCTTCTCCTTGATGTCACGCACAATTTCCCTCTCAGCTGTGGTGGTGAAGGAGTAACCACGCTCCGTCAGGATCTTCATGAGGTAGTCTGTGAGGTCACGGCCAGCCAAGTCGAGACGCAGGATGGCGTGGGGCAGGGCGTAGCCTTCGTAGATGGGCACTGTYTGGGTCACACCATCACCAGAGTCCATGACGATACCGGTGGTACGACCAGAAGCGTACAGGGACAGCACAGCCTGGATGGCAACGTACATGGCGGGGGTGTTGAAGGTCTCGAACATGATCTGCAATGAGAYGACATGTTAAGGTTTTCAGCAACAACATTTGTGATCACTGCATTCACAACATGCAGAGCGAGGCTTAAACTAAAGTTAGTACTAAAAGGTGCCAAGAACTACATTCCTTCACACTTGTGCATGTCAGACATCTAGCTGCTGAGCAGTCAGCTCTGCTAAATCTTAAAGTGCAGATAAGGCACACAGTCAAGAAACCTGTTGATGAAAGATCATCTTATAGAAGAGAGATCCTGGAGAAGGGGGGAGGAAGGAGGAAGTGAGAATGGAGAAGGAAACTGAAGAGATGAGGCAACTTTTTAAACATCTTGTACAGGAAGTAGTTGTACCTGGGTCATCTTCTCCCTGTTTGCTTTGGGGTTCAGAGGGGCCTCTGTGAGCAGGACAGGGTGCTCCTCAGGGGCAACTCTCAGCTCGTTGTAGAAGGTGTGATGCCAGATCTTCTCCATGTCATCCCAGTTGGTGACAATACCGTGCTCAATGGGGTACTTCAGAGTCAGGATACCTCTCTTGCTCTGGGCTTCATCACCTACGTAGCTGTCTTTCTGGCCCATACCCACCATCACACCCTGAAAGTAAGCAAAATTATATTAGTTAACTCAAGAAGAAAAAGGGCTGGGCTTTTACCGTAGTTCCAAACTGACACCCAGAACACCATTTAGTATAGCACTTTGAGTTAGTTTTAATTGTTGAAATATTAGAGAGAAATTAACCTGATGCCTGGGGCGACCGACGATGGAGGGGAAGACAGCACGAGGGGCGTCGTCTCCGGCGAATCCGGCCTTGCACATACCGGATCCGTTGTCAACAACAAGTGCGGCGATTTCCTCATCCATGGCTTAACTGTGGGAGGAGGAAAGAAAAAAAAAATAAGACAAGGGAAAAAAAAAAGTTTTGAGTATCACATCCACCCATTAGCAGCAGCACTGCAGTCTCACTTCCTGTCCATGCAGCTGCAGTGCACCAACTTGACTGCTAGATGGCGCATGCGCACCACATTCCGCCCAAGCCAGACAAAAGGAAGTGTTGCTGCATTCTGTTGTAACCATATAAGGACATGGTTCGGTTTAGAGCAGCTTTGCGGCTACCAGAGCTGTGGCGGGCAGCCAGAATACAAAAGAAAAAAAAAAAAACCGACATCAGACCCGGACAGACCACTCCCTCTGGTTCACTACAGTCACCCCCCTGCTTCCCTCAGTGGTTTAGTACTAAAAAAAAAAATCTTTGCTTCAATATCACTGCGTCATAGTAGCGACCTGAGACCTTCATTGCTGCATACAGGCCACTCCTGACACGACAACGTGCAGGTCTAACATTTGACAAGTTTTTACAATTCCCCACTAAAAAGGTTACATCATTCGCTTTCGTTGACTCATGAATGAATTAAGCAATTTCCTGAAAGCCACGCCTTAGTCCATTCAGTTTTATTCGCATTTACATGTGGAAAGATGCCCTTTTTAGGTTATTTATTGGGCTTTTCACTTATCTTATTCCTGTAAGACTTTAAAGTTATCTTTCAGCCATCAACACTCATGCAGAGAAGAACAAACAGCTAGTGGCCCGCTGCTGATGCGGGGCTAAAAGGGCGTGTTAGCATGGTGTAGCTAAGCTCTCATGCTAAAGTAGGTCACACCCCGTTAGATCAGGCGGCACAAAGGGAGCAGCCCTGATCCAGACAACCTTAACCTGGGAGTCAAACACCGCCCGGGGCATGAAATCAGAACTGCTAGTAAAACTATCAAGTTAAACAATACATTTAAAAAGGCCGACATTCAACAAGACTGCTAACTTTAGTTCACATTAATCATAAGCCGGTTCAAACTAAACAGCTGTGAATTAGCAGTAAAAAGACAAGTCTATGTGAAGTTTTAACATTTTGAAATAGAAACACTAAACACTTGTGAAAATTTATAAAAGCTCATTTAATTACCGGCTGGACAAAGAACTTCGTGGTTATCTTTAGCTCGTTAAAATTCTTTACACAAAAAAAAGACTACTCATTGTTTACATAATGGCTACACTATAATTAGAAGTGTGTGGATTTCGATTTTTGGCTGCTTACCTTTGAGTGGGGGGGGCTTTTCGCTTTAAGGGAACCGGTTTCAGGCAAATGAAATCCCGCACAAGCTGCGTGTGTGACGGCGCTGAGAGTGGGTCGGTTAGCTCTTGACGCTTGCTATTTATACTGCGCGAGCAGCGCAGCTCTATCCATAAAAGGTAAACTTTCGGAATGGCGCCTCTGATTGGCTGAGCGTCACAGCACTGGGGCACGTCTCGTGCACGCCGCGGTGCACGGAGAGCTCGCGATTTTCAGAGACGAGGGAGGCGAGAATACCAGAGGACTGGGGGGGGG